TGTAACGTGGGTGTACCTCGGTACACCCAATATTGCTCACGCGGACACATTCTGGACTAACTGCAGTCTCCGAACACTTTTCAAGGGCAGCCCCATGTAGAGCGCATTGCAGTAGTCCAGCCTTGAGGTGACAAGGGCATGAGTAACCATTTGGAGTGCCTCCCGATCCAAATAGGGCTGCAATTGGTGCACCAGGCGAACCTGGGCAAAGCCCCCCCTGGTCACAGCCGACAGATGATGTTCCAATGTCAGCTGTGGATCTAGGAGGACCCCCAAATTGCGAGCCCTCTCTGAGGGGTGTAAGTTCTCACCCCCCAGGATTAAGGATGGACTATCTGGGCTGTCCTTCAGGGGCAGCATCCCCCCGAATGCTTGAGACAGCAGCAGATAAGGAGGAAAATCAAGCAAAGGAACTGCCATGGCAAGACAAGATGGTGCATGGGATGTACCATTGACAGATAGCTGAAGTGATTAACATTAGAAAATTATGCCAGTGAAAGGGAAGGGTGGGACTAAAAAGCACCGAGGCACTGATTGTAGCAGCACCAGAACAGGCATTGAGTCCCAATCCATAGATGCAGGGTTCTACTGTATTAGGCAGGGTGTAAGATGTAGACAAAAATAGCATACACTAAGCTCCACAACCAAGTACGGAGCATTTTGTATCCTCTGAAGTTCGGATGGCAGATTCCACAGAATTATGAAGACCACTAATTATGGAGACTTAAGATCCCATGGGACTTCCAAATCCAGAAGGCCGTGCGGGTACTGACTAATCAACCAGACATCATGGTAATTGACAAGAACCAGAAGACAACGGTGGTCATGGATACAGCAGATCCAAGGGACAGCAGCATCATGTTAAGTATGAGAAGCTGGAAAATTACCAAGGCCTGAAGGAGGAACTAGAGCGGATGTTGAAATAAAGGCCAAAATGGTCCCAATGGAGGTAGGGAGCATTTGGAGCCGTGACTCCTAAGCTGGGAAAGGAGCTCCAACAGATCCCAGGAACTATATTAGAGCTTTCTGTCCAGAAAAACACAGGACTAGGAAAAACTGAGATACTATGCAGAATCCTCAAACCCCTAGGTCCCAACTCCTTTTCTGCTGCACCGTCCCAGTCCGTCCCTTGAGCTCCAATTGCGGGAAGAATAGAAATGTGTAAATTTGAGAAGATTAAAAAGATAGTGATTAAAAAGATAAAGAGTGTCTAAGGGGATCAAAACAGTCCTACAGTTATGGCAAACTATAATGTACAGTATTAAGGCAGTATTAATATATAAAATTTGCATAAAAGATTATTAAAAAATGAAAAAGGCAGCATGGTGGCCACTCCTGTGGTTGAAGTCTTCCCCTTTATGACAGGCATAATGTAATTGCAACCACTACATGGACTTTTTGACACCCCCCTCCTTGGAGATGCCCAGCACAATTTGTTTTGGGTCGTCTGTATTTAACACAAAAAGGAAAGGAAAGGAATCTTCTCTAGGTATTTTTGTGGAAGTGAATGTTTTGCTTCATTCCTGGAATGGATGGGTAGCCCCCTGGCAATAGTTGCACCTTGGCTGAGTGATAAGAGGCTCAGAACTTTTGCCTGGTGTCCCTTCTGGTATTAGCAACTGGGCCTGCATCACCTGGTCAGCCAGAGGTGGAGATGCATAACTGATGAGGAGGGTGAATGAAGATTAGTTCTCCAAGCTTGTGGGTTGGTTTCGTTGCCAAGCTAGATAACATCTTCAGCGGAATTTAGATGCTGGTGTCAGTGTTGTCCTATTACATTTTCAAAATGTCTGGAAACCAACCCACAAGCTCAGAGAATGAACCTTCACCCTCATCCTACAACTGAGGTACAGATATTTGCACTAATGCATAACTGGGTGGGAGGGAAACAGTCCTCTGGGACATAATCCCTTCCATGACTTCATCGTAAGTCTGGGAAGGAGGTCCAAGGAGCGAGCTTGACAGCACCGTGAGACCACACAATCTTTCCTGGAGAAAGCACTGAGGAGAGCAAGGCACAAGGACTTCATGATCTCCCTAAATCTATAAATTTCTGAAAAGCATGTGGCCACCTCTCTGTGTATCACCTGAGAAGACCACAGTGTGAGATCTGAGTCCTTCAAGATCTAGATAAAATGTATTTATTTAGTAGGCTTACATGCGGCCCATCCTGCTAGATAGTTTAAATGGTCTTTGATAAGAGGAGTTGCAGGATCTGTCTAGAATCCATATCTAGGGGAAGGGGGGGAAACCTGTTCCTAGTAACTAATTGCCCTCCATCCTCTCTTCCTTACAGTTCTCCAGAGATCCACAACAGGAAAAGAAAAGCACACAGAAAAGAGATGGTAATGTGAACATATCCTTCTTTCCAAAGAATGCCCCCATAAGTCACAGAAATTGTTCATTTTGTCCCATTTTACTCATCCCAACTCTTCCTAGGTCCCATGGCTTGCTTCATACAGCGTACCCTGTTTCATGAACAAAACCATTGAAATATAAAAGTAATGAACCAGCAAGGATTTTCATGCAATTTATGCTACAAATGATTGATTGATAGATAGATAGATAGGTACAAACAGGCAATGCCTTTCTGGTGCTCCTAGCTGTGGCATTGATGCCTAAGAGTTCCCCTTAGGTATTCTAGGGCAGGTGTTTTCAGACTTTTTCAGGCTGCAGAAGTATTAAAAATCCCTGGAAGCTTGAATTAGAGGCAGAGCTCAAGTGCTAGAAAATTGGCTATGCTTGAGTGAACTTGGGGTTTTTTCCCCCTCTTAGTTTCTTATGGAATCCATCAAGTTCTCATCAAATACAATTTAAAAACTCCTCTTGTAGGGCACAATCAGGCGGGCAATTGACCCTTCTAGTCCCAGCCCCTCTAGAGGGTGCTAGTTTGGAAAAAAGCCGATTGGAGAATGAACAATTGTCTTCCTTGTGAATTTCTGCAATCTATTTGAAGATAATTGAAATCACTGTTTAAAAATAAAGGGAGTTCTTTTGAACTGCAATGCAGCTGCTGACATCTAGTGGCCAATCATGTTTTTTTTTTTAAAAAATTATTAAGTAAACCATTAATGGGTATAAATTGCTTCCCAGAATTACCTGCCAGCATGTTTGGACTCTAACTTAAAATTCCCCAGCCAGAATTCTGGCAGTTGGGTTTCGCATCTTGAAGTTGCCAAGGTTGAGAAATATTGCAGTAAAGGACAGTTAAGGCAACATTCAAACAGCATCTCCAACAATTTGTGCAAGTCATTTGTCAGGGCGAACACTAAAAGGCAGACTGAACACATGAAAGAAATCAAGGAAAACGATACTGCAAGGATATTTAACTTTTTCCCTTTATGCTATTTCTTCGCTGCAAATCATTCTCAGACAGCTAGTCAGCCATCCAACTTTAAAGCATGTAGCAAAGCTGGGAGATGGCTCCATCCAGGCACAATCAATTTATATAAATTGGAAATGCCACAGATTCCTCCATGTCATTTGAGGGCATGATCAGTGACCCCTGAAATATGGGATCCTGGTGTTCTCAGCATTGCAAACCTGAACTATACATCTTAACTTTCCTGTAATTTTAAAACAGTCCCCTTTAATAATTTAAACAATGCAGTTAAAAAACAAACAGATGCAAGCATTTTGCATTGATTCGTCAGTACCAAACTTACAATAACATGGTTAAAAGTGACTTAGAACATAGAGTCTAGCGAGAGTGTTAATTAAACATGTGACATGTGGAAACCAGCCCATGACAAACCTTACGCCCACAGAAGGCGTAGATTGATGTACAATTGTTTCTGCGCACGCAAAGGAGGCTTCAATCGATTGATGGCAACCGCTATGGCAAAACGCAGCAAACGAGAATTCCTTTGGTGCAGCAAAACTTTGAGCACAGTGTTTTGAATTGACTTGGTGACCTGTAGCTAGTATATGTGTCGTGATAGCAGAAGAAGGCATTTTGTGGTCATGGTTTGCTGTGGGATTGCTCAGTAATGTCTGAACCCATTTCGGAAAGTGCTCCTCCATTCTGAAAGCCAGGCAACTATTAGTTCTGCTGAGGTAATTGTCTCCGCAATTAGAAACAAATTGGTAAATACAATGGGCTTTGGCGCTGATAGATTTTGCTTCCTTGATTGATAGTAGCGGTAGCCTCTGGGTTTGATGCACTACTTAACGCACGGCCATACTGAACTGTTGTTTCAATTAAGGTGTTTAAACATCGGGTCGGCAGGCATGCTATTTGATCCCCTTTAAACAGCAACTCAATAAATACTTTTTACTGGCAGTTGAAACTATTGGTTTTGAGTCTCTTGTTTTGCTGTGCCTGTTGATGAAGCGGCTTACCTGTATTTGTCATCCCCCTGAGAGAAGCATCTCATTTTGCACTGAGGCCACGTAAAGTTGATGCCCATTTCCTGCCTGTGAGAAAACAAGGCTCTACATGCAAATCTTTAAGTTAGAATAGTGAGTTCCTGGTCCCCAGAAGGGAAAAGAAAAATGGTTATGATAATCCTTTGGAGAATAATTTCCCAGAATCCTTGTTATTCTTGTTGCTGTCAGCATATACAACATCAGTTCCAAAAAAAATTTGGGGAAAAAATTGTAGGTTCAGTTTTAGTGGCTAGAATTTCCTCTAGACCGTTTACTTTTTCTTCTAGTAACATTTATTTTACATTTGATACAGTAAAACCTCTGAAAGTTGACTACCCAAGGGAGTGAAGGAAAGTGGTCAACATATGGAAGTGGTCAACATACAGAACAACTGTACGGATATGTTTAGTGTGATTGAAAATAACCCCATGACTGGTTGCCTCTCATCTAAAGATCCCTCTGACTAGAAGACACAATTCACTGAATTCAATGTTCTTCTTTTCCTCTGGTGAATGCCACGTGAAGATTGGAAAAGCTGAAATTGCTGCAGGAAACCATATTCCAAGCTACTGTGGGAATAGTCCCACTTGAGGGAGCCAGAGTATCACCAATCATTTATCATTTGACTATTAGTGGCAGAAAATAAAACAATCCTCTATCACCCCTAAAAATAATGCACACAGGAGGGTAAGCTTTTGCAAACCTAGGGATGGTGTTCACAGATAGAGGCTGACATCGCCTTTCTAGGAACTAATTCTAGCGAACTCTGTGCTGGGGTGACAGCGCGCATGCCCACAGAGACTGCTCTGAGTGCCCACTCCGGTACACGTGCCATCAGTTCGCCGCCACCAGACTCTGGTCTATATAATATGTCTCCTTGCTGTAAATTCAGAAATGCAACAAAAGAGTCCGTCAGGTTTTTTGCCTTTGCAGGCTCCCTCAGAGTTTGTTGATTAGCTCTCTTCTTTCTCAAGGACGTTGCTGAAAAAAGTTCCCCAGAATTATTTAGGTTTGAAGTGCTAGACTTAGGTTTTAAACTGGTTAACATCCTCTTGGGAAAAACAAACTAGAAGCGAAATGACTGTTTCTGAGCAGAAGACGTGTACTGGGAAGATTGAGAAGGCTTCATTTTAAGAAGCATGCTAGGGACTATAGACCACTTAAAGGCCAGCAAAATTCACATGTGGGCCTTTCTACTGTGTTTCCCCCCAAATAAGACTGTGTCTTACATTAATTTTTGCTCCAAAAGATGCATTACTATAACACGCTCTACATGGGGCTGCCCTTGAAGAGTGTTCAAAGACTTCAGCTGGTCCAGAACGCAGCCGCGCGAGCGATTGTGGGTGCACCCAGTACACCCACGTCACACCTATCCTCCGCGAGCTGCACTGGCT